GAGCGAAGTTCGCCGCGCGATGCTAGTAACCGGTCAGCGCTGAGGGCTAGACTAGACTCGGGACTGCAAGCTGCAAGGACTAGCGGCTGCAACAGGTCCTACGCGTTCGGCGGCCGCGTCCGATCAGATCATCAAAGATGCGAGCCTCGTGCTCGCAGTGGGCGTCACACCCCGTGCGCGTCATCCTTCGTTGGACCGTCCTTCTTCACTGACGAACGCCCATACCAGGTAACAAAGTCTAACGATTGTGATATTTATCTTGTACTACAGGCACTTGAGTGACTGCTATGTATCATTCGCGAATAAGTATGCCGCCATCGGGCCTCGCGTACTGAGTACCCAGCACGCCGTCTTTCTTTTCACTTCTCATTGTATGGCCCTCGCCCGTCTTCCCGTCAATCAGATTGCGCTCCATGTTAGTGACAGAGGCGACGGAGCGGAAACCGTAAGAAATGGGCCAAATCACGCCGCCTGAACAGTATTGAGTGAAGCTATACCGCTTGTCACCAGATGCGAGCCGTGTTTCGCCGTGGCGGAGGCCTGAGGAGTAGCGAATGACGATGCAGCGCGACGGCAACTTAAAGTATAGCTTGAAATTGATAAGATGTAGTGCTTTGAGTCGTCCGTATGCCCGAAGCAGAGCGAGTGCGGCCTGAGGCTGAAGCCACACGCTGCGTACAAGTCGAGCGGAAGCCGTAGACCGAGGTCCCTTGTACACATTGCGGCGAGTTGGCCGCGTATATGTGTGAAGGCGAGCGGGAAGTAGTGGGCAACAATTTCTACAGGGTGATAGTTAGTAGAGGCTTGAAGAACGTAGAGCGAAGGACGAAGCGTACCGCTGGCGAAACCCGCGAGTCGACGAAGCCGGCCGCGCACAAGAAGACGGTTGGCCGTGGCGTGAAGGCCTGCCATCATTGAATCGGTCAAGTTTATGGGTTTCTACGAAGAGCGGCAAGGAGTGAATGGTCGCGGCAATGAAGGAGAGGAGGGGGCTCACGGTTGCGCCCGGTCCCATAGTGAAGCCAGCCGCGAACGCATCAAAGTCGTCTCGCAGGTTCTTCTCACAAATTTATATGCAGCACGCGCCCGCTCTCTTCAATACTTCGGCGAGGGAGGCCATCCCAGCACCCCACTCAACGCGTTCTTGCTCCGTGAGGCCTTGCGGCAAGCCAACTAGCGCGCAGACGATGCGGCTATCCTTATCAAGGACAAGAACGGTGTCCTTGTCAGTACCTTAGCAACGGCTTACGAAGGAGTATGCGAGACGCAAATACGCACTCGCCGTTCCATTCGAGAGCCACGGCTTTGAGCTCCTCAACTGGATACCCAGTTCGCCCAGATTTCTTCTTGCTAATGTGTCCGCCCGGGCCAGTCGCGTACTCAACCTCGAAGGTTTGGAAGTTAATGAGTCGGACACCACGATGGTGGTGATCGAATCGATTGCCGCAAGTGCGCTCGTCCAGAGGGGCGTTCGCGGCGTCGATGCACTCTCGCTGCCGTTTCATGCGCCGTTCCTTGGCCTAGTAGTTCTCCTTCGCATTTGGCTGAGCATCTTGCCCGTTGTTCGGGCGACGAGTCCGAGTGTTTGAAAATCTCAGACTCGCGAGCGGTGATCGCGTTCGACGGGCGCACGGCGGCTCGCATGAGCAAATGGGTGAGGAGGTCAATGAGGAAGGCGTTGCGTTTTAAAATGCGTCAAGTTCGGGAGGTAAGGACATCTAGTAAGTTAACGTCAAGGTCAGCGAGTATCAATAAAAGCAGGAGTGTAGACGCGAGCCCCGCACCTCGCCCAACCGCACCATTGCCACAGCACGAGTCTGTAGCCTTTGAAGAGGAGAATTCCGAGGCCGTACGCCAACCAGATCTGCTCAAAGGACATGAGCGGCGCGCCCGTGCCAGATCCAGGCGGAACTGCCTACCTAGAGATGGTCGGATTGCGACTGGGTCGCTCGCCATTCAGAGACGAACACTCCAACCGTCGCGACCAGACCAGACGGCTTTCGCGGTCCTCACGGCCAGAACGAAGTGAAGCGTCGCTATGGGCTGGATAGCCAGTAACTTCCTGCGGCTGCGGTAGGCCACCTCCGATGTCGGCCGTCGTGGTGGTTTTGGTCGAAGCCAGTCGACGCTCTGCGCCCGCCACAGAGTCTCCTCGGTACAAGACGCGTATCGCGTCATGGGCATTTCGGTCCAACGTCCAACCCTTGTCAACTTATTCTCGGTTGCAGGCATGCTCGTACAGCGCAACCACTCAGCCGAGTCGGCCCCTTTCTGACATTCACATACGAAGCAACGACAATGTACCAGCAATCCAAAATCTTCGTTCATATTACATCTAAGAAGTCGTTCGAGTCCTCCACCGATGCTTGCTCAACGACATCGGCCACGGCGCCGGCGAGCTCGAACACCTCGGCGAGAACTCGCTCGCGTGAGGCGTCTGTGTCCGATGCCTGTGTCTCAATGGGCGTGGGTGCATGCGCGCCCCCGAGATTAATGGGAGCTTCGTCGAACATCGCCGCTTCGACGTCGCGCGTGGTGACGATGGCGTGGCTCTCCGAGTCGGGACCCCGGCGCGCCACCTTGACGGTGAGCGTCCCGGCTGCGTCCCCGGAGGGTACTGTTGATGAGGGCATGTCAGTCGGACATGAGCTCTGAACGAACGGTAATGCTTACCCTCCACCGTTACATTCATATTTTTGGGTAGGACGCCGATCTCGACGATGTTCTGAACGCCGTCGGCAAAACGTTGCACGATGGTAACGGCCGGCGATGACGCTGCCTGGCTTGCTATGAGATATTCAGCATTCACGAGTTTGTGTTACGAATTCATGTCCTGATGCTCACAAGCAGTGCGAGCGGCGGCCTGTGCCAAGGCTTCCTTGTATGCCGCGGCTGTTTTGGCCGAGAGCTCCGAGATGTGCTAAACCGTCATCCATATCAGCCGACGCTCGATCACAACTCGAGATACAGATAACGTACCAGGACTTCGGTCCTGTCTAACTTGCTGGTGTCGGCTAGCCGGCCCGCAGTCGTGGAGCGAGTGAAGATAGACTCGCAGATGGCCAAATTCTTCCGGGTCCTGCATCATGAACGGTCAGTTGTGGGCAGGTATGTATACTGAAAGAGTCATACTTGACGATTTTCGCCTGAATTTTGGCGACATCGTCATCGGTGAGCTCGCGACGATGCTCGTACAGGGTAGCTTCCATTGTGACAAGGGAGGTGACGAGCTCCCGTACTGAAGATCGTTTGCCCTGGAGGGCCACAGAGCGCTCCTCCGCCCAGATACGTATAGCCTGTAGGGTAAACCAAGCTACGGTCGTGGCCGATGCCGGGTCAACCATGACGGGAACAAGGGAGGGCGGGGTTCAATGGGACTGCACCGATCACTAAAGGGGAGCGAGATATATAGTTAGCTTGGCTGCTTCGGAGGAGCTCACGTACTCCAACGACTTTCAAGTCGCACGGCGTCCGTATGGCACTTCTCCATACAAGACCTGGGCTGTCAGAGTTCGAACAGCTGAATCGACCCACCCCGGGATCGGACATCCCCGCCCATACTTCACTATGATCAAAGATGATCCACACATTGACTTAAAGTTGTACTCTGCCTTCTAATACATAATCAATGCTCTGGCAAGTAAATTCTCAACTTTATCTCCGCCTTCGACGGTCTCGCTCCCCGTTCGATCTCTGCCGTTCACACCGGCGGACCCCGACGGTTCGCCTTCCATGGCTCGGCCTTGTCGAAGCCATAGGCCACGATCTCGATACTGGGGCTTCGCCTCCGCGACGCCGAAGTTTGCGATTCCAACGTTTCTCTTGTTGTGGCGCTATGTCTGTCTTCAGCCTCTCCCAGAGTGAAGTTGTCAACCCACCCACCGATCTTTGACGTGAGTAGTTGCGCAATCGTAACTCTCAAAGCGGTGTCTTGCATCTCGTTTCTGGTAGGGCGCTGGTCGATTTCGTGGACTGGGTTTCGATATGCTCCCCTGAGGGACGGAAGAAGACTATTGTATTCGGTCAGTAGCTATACGTGGGCCGGGGCGCTGACATAGCATGGGTAACGCACCATACAGTTAGTGTACATGTCCGTGAGCAATCCATCTTCTCGTTGAATCTCCCGAGCCAGCCGCCTATCGCGCAACTCATGCAACAAGGCAGGGTCGAGAGGCCCCGATACAAACTCGTGCAGCCGGCCGCCGCCTTGAATGTCTCCTGGGTGGTCTCTGCGACACTGTAATCTCCGTAAGAATCGAAAGAAGCTCGCTTAGGGAAAGGAGAAGTGTATCCACCTCGACTTCGTAGCGCCCCGCATTTGGACCGGTCGAGTCGTAGTTGAGGCGAACCTTCAAGGTCGGGTGCTGATGGCGCCTGCAACGTTCTCGCCGAAGTTGTACGAGCAGAGAATCTACTGCTCCAGCATGGCTCCGTAGCTCGGCCCGATATTGGGCAGCAATGTCCTCGTGGAGGTTGTTGCGTCCGTGCATGCTTTGACAGACAGACGTGGACGTGGCCTTGAAGGTGCATTGTTTTATGACCCGATCTTGCTAGCTGTAGCCCAAAGTAAGCAGTGCATTCTTCGCGCGTATCAGGTTTCGGGACTTACACGGATTCGCTAGGTGGCGAACACACAAGGTGCCCGGGTTCTAGAAGTAAAGCAGTCAGGCATGGCCAATGAGCGGCTCATCGAATTTCGATTGCAGCCGTCGGCAAGTCAAGGTATGTTAGCAGCCTCCGGAGATTAAAGAAGGTACTTCTGTTACATCCAAGCTGCGTGGCAATCGCGACGTCCTGCGCAAGGTCTCCGTGTCCGATCTTGGATCCCCGTATCTAGTGACTCTCACGAAAACCCGTCGCACAAACAAACGCCGGGCCCCCCTTCTTCATTCTACGGCTGTGTGAACACATGCTGTCAAACGCGGTGAAGATTGCGGGAGCCCTTCCCATGCAAAGAACGTTGCAAGCCGGATTCCTTGTAACACGCTCGAATATACCTGAAGCCGAAAGGAATCAAAGGAATAGCATTAAAGAATATACCGTCAGGTGAAATGTACGTATGAGTACCGAAGGGGCCTGGTTGTGAATCGGGTATCATAAAGCCCACGTCACCTCCACAGCCCCTCGCATCGTGGCTTCCTGCACGCGCCAAGTCGCGGAGGAGACCTCTGAGTAGAC